CTGCAAGAAAGGCTGACAACTTGACAGTTCCTCGGTTAGAAAACCACTTACTCTTTCTGAGATGTGCTTAGAGTAACAGTGACTGGAACTTTAATTCTGTACAGATATGTAGTAAATCTCAGCTGCAGTGACTTGGAGGGCAAGGCTTTCTTTGCTAAGCATCTTTGAAAGCATCCTTGCCTATATCAGTGCATGAAAGAACTCCTCCACACATTCACTAAACTCCACCTCCACAGCTAATTGGTTGTGATATTAAAACTGCTAGATATAGAATTTATTAATTAAATAGATTATTAAAATTATGTTTTAGTAGAAAAATGAGCTCTATAAACAAATGTTATGATGACAAATGGTGACTACAGTTACATGGACATACACATGTATACACAGACGCTAAATGAATATACAAACTTCTCAGGTAAAAGAAAAATATTTGAAAATAAAGACTTTAAAACTTTTTTTAAACAAGGAGAAAAAATCTGAGGCAGGGTCTCTTTTCTGAACTGATGCAGTCCTAAAATTTTTCATTGTCTTGCTTTGGCCTTCTGAGTGCTGAAATTACAGGGATGCGTCATCACATCTGGATTCACAGATTTTGAGGATGTCAACAGTATCAAAGGAACCCTAGAGTTAAATGTTTATAAAGATCCTAACAGCCTTTTGTAGAACACCTTAATGGTATTTGCTCCTAGAAGAGCTTTAATCCATTTGTGAAGCTAGAGTGTAGAAATCTGATCAGTTCCTATGGCTATCTGATCTTCTTGAAAAGAATATGTATGCATGCTATGATGTATATGAATTATTTTTCCTTTAATGATAGATAATGAGCATAGACTGAATTAAGAGCAGGTCAAAGTGAATAACTATATTGACCTCAAAACATTATGGACCACACAAGACTTCCAGGGCCAAGAAAGGCTAGAAATAATCCTTTGCCACCTTCACAAACACAAACATCCATTCACCCCAAACATTCTCAATCTAGGTAGTCTATCCTCAAAGAGTTTTCTGGATGAGATAATCTCCTACTTCACTCATGCTATGATAGAGGCTAGAGACATGCCCAGGATGGAGACATTCAAGCCATAATTTGTTTCTACTGCTGAAAATCTTTCTATATCCATTGTTACCATGTCAAGGGTAGGTATCAAGCTTTGTCATTTCTTTCATATCTTACCATTGTCTTTAAACTCACTTGTCTTAGAACATTGCTACAAAAAAGAAAACAAGACGATAGTAACCTGAGGAAAATCTACCCATTCATCCTGCTTGATGGCTGCTGACAAAGACTACCATGACCACTGCTACAGGGAACTGTTTGTTTTTAACCTTATATGTGACATCAGCCCTGCTGGGCAATTCTTCCTCTTCCTGCTGCTTGTCACTTTAAGCTTCTAGAGTCCAAATCTCCAGCATCTTAGATACACTGGTGCCTTTCCCTATTAGTAGATAATATCACTCCCATTTCTCCAGCAAAAGACATCAATTGTATGTGATAACTATTTCCTTAGTTCCCTAACACCAGTAAACCCATGCTTCCTGCCTCACCTCTTCCTCTAGTTTTCTAGAGAACCACTCCCATCTCCCTTAAGGTCAATGGTAACAGATACTTCTCGATCCAGTGCCCTACCATTATTTTTGTAATGGAAATCAATCATTACTCAACACTCTTTTGCTCTATCTCCAACTCTCTCTTAAATGGGTTTATCTCTTAGAATTCAAACATGCTGTTTATCTACATTCTAAATGTGCTCCTCTACATCTTCTCGAAGATATTTAGTTTCTGCACAAACATGTGAATATTTCACCTTTCATTTCTTTTCTATTTTTGTTCTTTAAATATCAGACAATGTCGTCCACTGAGGTTTGTCTAACAACAACAACTGATTAATGTCTTTATGTACTGTATATCATTCTGGACTGTTCACTTGATAACACATGTGGCTCAGGTCATCTTAACCTCAGCATAGAAATACAACTGAGTGAATGATTTCAGGAAACCGAAATCATAATCATCAATAACATTGATAGGTAAAATGATAACAGGGCAAATAGGGTTTATGTAAGTGTGAATATTTGTCTACATTCAATATGAAATATTATATTACTATATTCTAGAAATAGGTAAGGCCTCAATAACCTGAATTTGGCTGAAAAATGAATGTGCATTTTGTAGCAACATGTTGAAAATGATTCAAAGATGTCTACTATTAATATTTCCAGTTATCATTGAACTAAGGTCCAACTATACTAAAACAAGAAAAATGTAATAGTTCAGAAGCTACAAAGAAAGAGCTAATCACTTTTATTAAATGCAGATGATAGGGCAATCAGGAGGAAGTGAACAAGAATCTACAGATTATTTAAAAATTAAAAGCTGAACAAGAAAGGTGGATATAAAGTTCAATCAAAATATCAGTGTGGTTTTAATAGGTTAGAAATGAACAGAAAAAGAAATTCAAAATATGTAATTTCCTAGTCATAGAATATAAATTAAATGACAACTCTCTCAAATAAATTCCCAAAGTATTCTTAAATGATATGAATAGTATGTCACAAAGATACAGTAAAGGAAGAAGATCCAATGATTATGTATCAAATAGTCCATTTCTGTGTATTTAAACCTTCAGACTAAGCATGATGCTTGTGTCATAAGAATGGAAGTGAGAATGCGGGCATGTTCTGGGTAACAAAATGTCCTGTAACTAACTCCATCGTAAAGTAGATCATGCTGGTAATATGTTTAATAGAATAGTTAATATTGTAGGGGGATGCAATTAAACCATATCTAAAAAACAGATGCAAACATAATAGCACTTGAAAAATGGAATTTATTTTTTCATAGTCTACATATTCAAATAAGATACTAGGGAGTCAAAAGACCTGAACATAAAAGGGCAAAACTGTACAAAATAACAACTCATACTTAACTAGAGTAGGGAATGATTTTTGAATAAGAATAAACATCAACAACCATAGGAAAAATATTCATAATAAAAGCAAATTTATATGTGCTGAGAATGTTATGAAAGACCAATTTTCAGAGAAAAAATTAATTCTTCTAATTTAATTAAGTAACAAAGAACAAGTCTTTGGTGTGTTCGCATATATCTCTGTATATCTGCTACTGTCATTACTAAAAAACAAAGGGCATCTCTACCTTCCCAAAGACAAACCAGACAAAACAAAAACAACAACAAATCCCCAAAAGACAAAACTTGAAAGGCAATTGAAGTAAAAGAGAAATATGAGATGCCAAAATAGGAAAGAGAATATTTTATAGCTAGGGAATTTAAAATGAGTCCATGAAGACACATGACTATCTCAAGCTATTAGCAGAAGCTTAGAAGTCTGACAAACCATGATGTGGTTGGATCATGTGGCATCAAAAACTTATTTCACACTGGTGTGGTAAGTGGAAGTTGGTAAATTTCAATAAAGGAGTTTGATCCTATCCAGGAATGTCTAAAGCATGTGTTCTTCTATTGCAGTTCTCTTCCATGCACAAAAATGTATGCAGAAGTACAACAGTATATGGCCAATAAATACATGTAAGGAAGAACATTGCAAGTGTTCTACTGATAGCAGTCTAAAATATAAACAGCATAATAAATTCTGGCACATTCATATAATATAAAAAACATAACAATATAGATTAAATGAATTTCTACTACATGTTACAACAAGGATGAATAAGACAAACAAGGTAGAATTTTAGAATCTAGAAATATAATATGCAAAGCTGAGTACAATTCTTAATATTGGCAAATTTTACTTCATAAGGTGATAAAGTAATTTGAACTATAACCCAGTGGTCACATTAAATTCAGACTAATCATTCCACTACTGTGATCAGGCTTTCCGTTGAGGGAGTACTTGATGGTGTTTCCCGTACCTGCTTTCCTTTTTTACCACGGCAGGGATGGTTTCCTATAGAACAATTCACTCTAGTATTCTCTGTTTATGCCATTTTCTGTATCTTTGAACACTTCACTAGCAAACAAAGATTAAAATGCACCAAGATATTTCAACTCAGCACAAATTTACTGAGGAATTGTTGTTTCCAGTAATAACAACTCGTACCTTGACTGTTCTCCTGACACATGTCAGCAAAGGAAGGATGTTCGTCCAAACCAGTCCCTTTCAACCCAGTCAATCTCAGACACCAAAGCCATTATACTTATCAGCTCTGTATACAAACCCACCATCAGTTCCCCCTGCCCTAGAAATGTGTAAAAAGTGTAAGTTAAAGTACAAGAGTCATTTCGCCAAGGAATTTTGTATTTTTCCTTGCTAGAGCAGAAGTTACAGCATTCTGTATGACATCCTGTATTGGTACTTATCTGCCTCATTCGGTGATCTACAGAATATACTAAGAATCATTTCCCAAAAGTATGATCTCCTGAGGATAGGCCACACACAAAATTCTACTATAATGCTACCTTCCAAAGCTGACTTTCTGCATTTTGATATTAAACTTGTCCAAACACTGACTCTGATTTTGTGCATGTCACAAAGTAAAACTCAAAGTTATGTTTTGTCTAAATATTGAATTCAGCATTTTATAAAAGTGTTATTATCGTGAATGAAATGTGATACCCCTTCCCTTGGCATGAACTGTGCTTTTTCTTCCTTTATATTAATTTTGAGAAAGGGTTTCTCTGTGCAGTCCTGGCTGACCTGTTACTCATTCTGTAGACCAGGCTTGCCTCAAACTCATAGACATCTGCCTGTCTCTACTTCCATTTGCCACCACCTTCTCTCCTTTTATATTATTTTAAAGTATGAACCCAATTAATTGTTCTATACATCTCATGTATGTAAGAGTACTCTAAGCTCCAGACCCACTGTCTAAGATGTGTCTTCCCTTCCTTATTTCTCCTCCCATTCTCTTTTGGAATTCATGCACTTTAATGATACTGTGGTCACACTGCAGAAAATTATATGGCAAACCCATATTAGTCTATAGAAAAAATCATTTATAACAAGTCTATACTTACTTTACGGACACCTCTGCCAAGTTCTTCTCCATAGTTAGTTCCAAGGATTTCAAAGTGCACATTGGGGTTACCTCCATTTTCTGCAAATTCTAGCTCTCCAGTCAATCCATTAACTCCACCCTAAATGAGAGAAATAGACACTTATTTGAAAGTTCAGAAAAACAAACAATTAGTAATAAAGGATAAAAAGAACTTATACTCTATTTCCACTTATAAAATAAAATTTCAAAGAAGATGCTTATTAACAGGCTAATTTTAGTAGATGCACAGCATACCCAGTAATTCTACTGAAAGTTACCTTTGAATTGATTCAATTCAATTTAAGCAACTTGCCACAAAAATTGATCCATGCCCTAAGAACGAGTGGCTTCTCGAAATATCCCTGGTGAGAATTGAGACTCAGTTCCATAATGAAGATATGGCCACCACACATTGTAACACAGAGGTGTGTATCACCAAAATACAGCAATGTAGCATGAATAATAAAATCCCAGAGAAAGATATTGGGGTACAAGCTGAATATCAGAGAAGCAAAACAGCCAGCAACTAGAGAGTTCTTGCCTCTACCAATTCTCAGACCAAAGGGGAGATCCACCAAATCTCAGATTGCATCTCCAGACTGCATCACTCTCCACCAAGCCTCAGAATCCTAGACTGCCTTCTGAGACTGCACTGAGCTCCTTATGTACTCTCTAGTGCTGGGATTAAAGGCATGAGATATTTCTGATTTATACTGATTCACTCTAATGTAGACCTGGATTGCCTTGAACTCAGAGATCCATCTGCATCTAGCTCCTTAGTTCTGCGATTAAAAGTGTGTGCCACCACTGCCCCACTTCTGTAGATAACTAGTATGGCTGGCTTTGCATTCTGATCCTTCAAGCACTCTTCATTAAATAATAAATAATATATCACCACACAGCAAGCTCCAGGAAATCCAAAGAAGCTATTATAGAGACAGGTCCATTCAAATTTAATCTAAAATTACATCTGGGGATTTTTGAATTTACCATTTAAAATATTAGAGGTTTATTTTCTTCCTTTGAATTTATTTTCCAAACTATAATAATGAGTATGTTATTTCCAAAAGAACAAAGAAAAGATTTTAAATTATTTCATGAGAAATATATTATTAGCCTGATTTATATATTAAACAATGTGTGTAAACTTATACATATGTTTCAAAATATTGTATAGAACCCCATCAATGCGTATAATTTTGTTTTTGTATGACAGTTATGGAGGTACATTTAATAAATATGATAGATTATAAATTTACATAAGCAAGGGTAACTCAGACTTGAAAATGCTTTGTGTCCTCAGGTGTTTTTACTGGTCCTGAGACTAGAAATTTCATTGTTCACTCAGCATGAAAGATACTCACTTCCTTTAGCATTGACCATGTGCGTAATACCCATCTCTTCCTTAAAACTCTTCCTCACTTTGCTCTGTCAACCTTCACATTACTTAGGGTTTCAAGCTCACTGTGATGCTTACAATCACTTCACCATTATTGTATGCTCTGGGTAAAGTTTTGGCTGTGTAATGGCATTTGTTTTGACAACAAATCATCTCAGCTTGTGAACTGCTCCAGTTATCACGTCTATGGTGGGGATTTCTAAATGTGTAAGACTTGTCTTAGCCTGTAGTGCCAGTTTAGTCCTTTTTGGTTGGTATTACACTGTCTGCTATATCTCACACTTCATCTGTACCTTCCAGACACATGCAGAATGCTAACTTAATAAAAGAAGTTCAGAAAACTATTATTGACTCACTGTATTTGCAATCTTTCTATGACTTTCAATTATTAATCTATTTCATTCTTATAGCATTATAATTAACAAGTTTTTTATCAGTAGTTTATTGATTCAGATAGGAATTAATATTATCTAGTTTTAGGCTGACTCTGTTGAATTTGATGTGCCTGTCGTCTTTTCTTTTTATATGAGTTAAGACTTCACCCATGGTATAGGAATATAGAAGCTGTGCAGAAACTAACTGATTTGCTTTTCTGTCTCAATTTCTCTATCTCTTAGATGGACAATAACGTACTTACCTCACAGGATTATTACTGGTTTTCCTACAGTGTACCTGCAAGCAACGAGGAGCATGTTTCCTGCGCTGAGAGCTGGGTTACTATCCTTATCACTGTGAGACCAGTGTTTTTCTGGCCCTTATTTTCAGAGACTGTCTAATTCTATAAAACTCAGGTATGATCTTGCCTTTTTATTGGTTACAGTTTATTGGGTTTTTAAGACTCATTTATATGGTTCTGTGTGAGTGTAGTCTGAGTGTTTTTGTACATGTGTGTAGACGTCACAAGTAGATGAGAGGAATCCTTGGGAGATAGAATTCACTGTGGGAAGAATGGTCCAAGGGGGCAATGAAGTATGCTCCATGCACTCTGCCATTTGCATGTGTCCCCTGTTTGCTGCTGTCTTTACAGAGAAAATACATTCAATTGGTGTTATTCAATTTTATACCATGTTCTACATCAGCATCCATATCACAAAATACCTAATATGCCCTACTATTTTCAATAAAGATTAAATGGAGTGAATATCATTATCACTGACATCTCCAAGTTGGAAATATATTTCTGAATGTAGCATACATCATTATATACGAGCTCCAACTAATATCGTTCCAAAAATTTCCTTTTTAAAGAAACATATTATATTCATTTATTCATTGGGACACGGCACAAGTAAAACTGCAAGTTGGGATGGCAAAGAGTAAGTTTCTCTTCTATCATGTGAGTTACAGAAATTGAACTCAGGTCATCAGGCTTGGTGGCTAGTTACTGGCCCATAGAATCTTCTGGGTAACAGATTTTGTTGCTGGGACTGGCAGCACACACCTTCTGTGCCAGAACTTGGAAGGCAAAGGCAGGAAGAACTCTGTGAGCTAGAGTCAACCATTGTCTGCATACTGAGTTCTAGTCTAGCCACAACCATATAGTGAGACCCAGTGTCAAAGGACTATCAACAACAAGACTCTTTTGTTCTCAACCTTCTTCAATAGTATCTCCTAACTACACAATAATTCTAGCTTTTTGTCTCACTTCTAGAAAAAGGAACTGGAGAGATGCCTTCTGATTACTCTATGGAAATATCTGACACCAGAAAGTCTTAAACATATAGTTTTACTCTCTTATTCTTCTGAGTCAGTATGCTATGGCTGTGCAGGGCCAGGTCCTTCTCTGCAGGGAACAGCTTCCACTGTGTGACTTTAATGCACTTACGGAAAACAAGCACAAAATCCATAAATCAGAAGATGTGCTCTTAGATTGCTGCAGCCTTACCTAGCTCACCTTTTTGACTTTGTAATTTATCTTCTTTCTGCTCTATCATTAATGAGCTTTTGACATGCTTAATGAGAGGATTCTGCCCTCAGGAAGGTGTCTGGATTTTATTCAAGAGGTCAACATCTTAAGCAAATAAGCCCTTTAAACAACATCCTTTGTTATCTCAGCTAGATTTAACCTGATTTTTTAATTACTGTTGTTTTAAAAGATTCCAGCACTTTCAAGCTGTTTTTCATCTATCTTCTGGTTAACCTTGAAAATAGAGCTTGGTAAAAGCACTCTGGCTGGGGGTGATGAATGGTCATTATCATTGTGCATGCATGCTTGTATTTATAAATTTCTTTGTGACACAGCACATTGTAAACAACATAAGGTAATGGGTCATTGATAAAGCTAACAGTGAGGTAGCATCTTATGTGTCCTTTACACTGACTGTCAGAACTGCTGCTAGAGGAATCTTAAAAAATACTGACTATGTCACTTGGGATTTTATCTTACATACATAATATAGAAGTATCATGAACAAGGAATAGAGAAAAATATCAAGAAAAAAGAAAAGTATAAAGTGAGAATCAAACAGCAGTTAATCTGAGTAATCATTTTCTTACTCTCCTTTTCCCCAGTTTTTCTTGGCCACAGGGGATCAAGAAGCTTTGGTCAATTTAGAAATGTGTTATCCAATCTAATATTCAAATTTTGTGATAAACGTTTCTCAAGCTTTGACTATTATAGACCAACACCATGAGAAATGTTGTGAAAGTTCAGAAATACACAAGTCAGTTAATTCCTCCACAATAGACTTGTAGCATACAGATGATGCTGTCTATGCCTTAAAGGAAACAACCACAGTTCATTCATTCATCGAGGAGCTCACACAGATAAAGATCTCAGTCCTCTCTACTTTTCTCTCAAAAGTATGCATACATACTATTTGTCTCATGTGGCATATGTATATTAAAATGAATTGCTCAAAAATAAATATTTGAATGAAATTAAATTAAAATTGTGTCTTACCTGCTTTATAAGTAAAATTGACTAAAGTTGAAATGTTCAGTGGTGAATTCTGAGATTTTTTTCAAAGGGTATAAAAGATACTTGCTGATGTTTGTTCATACATGAGCACCCATGCACAATCTGGCCCATACTTGTGTATATGGAAAGCAAATGTCAACGTACTGTGTCTTCCTCAACCCATATCCTGTATGTTTTTTGAAGAAGGGTCTCTCTTAACCTAGAACTTGCCAACTCTGCTACACTGATTGGACAGAAAGCTGCACTGCTAGATTTGTCTTTGCCTCTCAAGAGTTGTGATTGCAGAAGTAAAATTAGGAGTGTTGGTTGCTTCTCTCCTTTGGAAATTTGCATGGTAGTATCCAGTACTATGAAAACTATCCATAGGGGAGGAGGCTTTCAGGTAACCTTCAAATCAAGGACTTCTGGTCCTTGCATCTGAAGTACATGGTGCCTTCAGCAATCAAAACTTAACTTACCCACAGATAAGTGTAATCCTCATTCATCATCATAGAAACTTCTATTTGCAACAGACAGAGGTCATAACAGAAATCCAAAACCAATCAAAATGCAGGTTGTGAAGCCAATCTACAAAATAACTCCCACACTTAAGGCTCATAGAAAATTGTGGAATAGGGGGCAGAAAGATTGCAATAGTTAGACAATCAAGGAGCTTATTGAGAGATTCTGTCTCCTAGTAATGGTGGAATGTATACCCATAAGATCTTATCAACATGACAGCCAAAATGTGATCTTAACAAGAATGATAGTAATAGACAGGACAAGATGAACCAGGGTAAGT